CGTACGAGAACGATGATGGGAAAACGTCGTGGTACTCTCGGATGAGGTCACGAACTGCGGGCTCCAGGTCAGCCGTATATCGTGCGAGTTCCTCAGCGTCAGCGTCAGCGCCCGACGGCGGGGTGGACTCGACGGACGGCGGAGGGACGGAAGTAGAGATGGGAGCCATGGAGATAGAGGGAGGATCTGGCTCCAGAGGGATGAGCTCAGCGTCGGAACAGGGTGGATCATAGTGTAAGAGATCCGTCACGTCCACCATAAAGAAGGCGACGTCGTTCTGTCGAATGAAGTGAGCGAACTGCCGAGGCGAGGTGACAGTGACAGAGGGGGGTGGTGTGGGCACTAAAGGCTCCGGGGGAGGAGGATCGGGGTGTGGTATCGCCGTGGTACCTATGAAAGGTACGCAATACGTCTGTCCACACTTCGTTTTGAGAACGAGAGTGTTGGTCGCCCAATCGGCCTCGGTGCTGCGGAATTTACGAGACCACGGAGTACCGCGAATGAAGTCGTACCCCGTCTCCATCACATCGAAATGTGCAGAGGAGCGATGGCGACGAGACGCCGGGGAACGATCAGTCGGCTCGAGAGTGATGAAGAAGGGGAGGTCGGTGACCGTCTGATCGAAGAAGCGCTGGGTCTTGTCATCCCCTAGGGTAACGGAGATGGGAGTCGGAGACCCTGTCGTGGGTAAGCGGGATTCCGTCACCACGCGTGGGTGAATGAAGTCGCCCTGAGAACCTGAATCCCACAGCGCTGAGTACACCCTCGTGGAGGTCCCGAGTCGTACTGGGATGATCGGGAGGGTGCGATCAGGGTCAGAGAGGATGGCGAGAAGGCGACGCAGTGCAGCGACATGGAGGGTGAGTCGCTCCTGACGAGCCTGGAGCATGCTCAAGTCCAGAAGAGAGGACACAATGTCCTCGCGAGTAGCAAGCTGCTCGCTGCAACGGGCTGAGCGAATGGCTCGACGTGTCGGTAGTCGCGGCGGGGAAGGAGGGGAGACGGTGGTCGGCGGAGGCGCAGACGGTACTGCGACAGAGGGCTGAGTACACTCTGCGAGAGGAGCGAACCGCGACCGAGATGTCGGGAAGCCCACTACTGAGGAGGGCGCAGGTGTACACTGCACCGTGGCTAGGAGGCGCCGCGGGGACGTGAGGCGCCGGGGGGGGATTGAGCACGACGCTGACGAGAAAGGTCAGCGTAGTGGTGGTCGAGGGCGGTAGTGTAAGGGCACCGCGAGGAGGTATGACCGTCCAAGCGGCAGCGCAAACACCCACGTTGGCCCAGAATAGCCGCGCGCTCCTCAGTGGAAAGGACACCGCGAGGAGGGACGAAGCCCTGAGGGAGGTCCTCCTGAGGGACCTCAGGGGGCGACGAGCCAGCGTGACCGTGGCGGCTGCGTACCCGAGAGAGGGCGGAGAGCGCGAGCTGAAGGCGCTCAGCTATAGGGAGGGTAGAGTTCTCCAAGTGATAGTGGACGGCCTCGCAGAGATCGAGGTCGTCGCTGTGGTCGCCCTCAGGTGACAGTGGGGCAACAGCGTCCTGCTCACCATACTCCAACGCGCTGAAGCGGCGCGAGAAGTGGCGGCCCTGCTGCGTGGAACGGCGAGGGCGACCGCGGAAAGGGGAACGGCGTTGGGATGTGTCGTGAGAGGATGAGGCGTAGCCCGTGTGCTGGGGCTGGGAGGAGGAGGCGGGGTGAAGACGGGCTCGCATCCACAGGTGGTCCCTGGCGGCCTCGTAAGCCTGTGGGGCCGATGTGAACTCGTACCGCCATAGCTCGGAGCGGTACTCGAGTGGAAGGCTGGTCAAGAAACGATCGATAAGGGCAGCCTCGGGGAGCAACGCCACCTCGCAAACGAGGCGGGCGTCCTGAAAGACCTGGATGTGGCGATCCAGGCCGGCAGCGCCACCAGAGCCGGACCAGCGTGTAGTGACGACACGCTCGAAGGCGTCAGTCACGTCGTATCGGGCTCCGAAGCGATCCTCGAGGAACGCCTGGAAATCCACGAAGGTCGGAGTCCGACCCTCAAGAAGGGAGTAGGCATAGAAATCCTCCCAGGCCTCGAAAGGACCGCCACGCAGGCGCGTGGAGAGGTGACCCACCCACGTCTCGGGTGTGGCACCCATGAGCTGGAGTATGCGGGTGGCAGACTGCAGCCACCGAGACACGCGTATGCCTCTACCGTCATACAAGGCGATGTCCGACAAGCGGATGAGTGGTGCGCCACCGTTTTGGCGGCGAGGGGATCGAGGAGCGGAGGCCTGTGCCACGGCTGAGTAAGTCGGCGCAGGTCCTGGGGAAAGGGGCGCAGCCTACTGTGCGCCCGGGCCACATGGGGGAGCGGCGGTGGCAACAGTGGCAGGTTGCAAGGGTGCTGCGGTAGAAGAGGTCGCAGCAACCGCGGGAGTAGGAAGAAGGTAGGAAGGAGTTGTATATGGTGCAGGGCGCGGAAAGCGAGCCTGCATGGGAGGAAGGGTAGAGGAGGTAGGGGGTGCGCCCGAAGGCACGGCCACCTGTGAGGGTGGAGGTGGCTGAAGTCGTAAGAGGGCGAGGTCGGCCCGGAGCTGGGTAATCTCGTCCGCGAGACCTCGAACGTAGGTCGATCGAGGGGTGGCGGGAGGAAGAGTGGAGGGGGTGGACGCACAAGCGGCGCGGGGCATCCCCGAGGGGGGAGAGCYAGGTRGCRCTGCGGTCGTGCGAAGGGGAGGGAGAAGCGGGGCACCCGGAAAAGCTGAGACCATGGTAGCGGGTTGTTGTACCGTGGCCGTAGTGACCGGGATCTGGGTGGGTGCGCCCGTAGACTGAGGGGGGGCCTGGCTCGTGGCGGTCGTCGTGCTAGGGGCGTGGACAGTCACCAAGATGGCCGGGTCAGGGGCAACGGAGGAGGAAGCTCCGCCGTGGCCGCCCTGTCGGAGGACGGGGGACCTGGACTGGGAGGCAGGAGATGACGGACACGCAGCGTCCTGGAGTTGCTGCATGCCGGCGGCAAGGGTCGACACCTGCGCCTGTAAGGGCGTGAGGGCCGCGAGTTGCGCCTGGATGGGCGCAAGGAGGGAGATGAGGAGGGTGTGTAGATCCCCCTGGGGATGATGGCCCTGGTCCGCCGGCACGGGTGTGAAGCCCGATGCCGTGGTCATCGCCGTGTCGGCGGCGTGTGACGCACCGTCGGCCATGGGRAGATGACGGACCGGACTGGAGGGGGCCAGAAGAGGTCCGCGTGAGCGGAGGGCGTAGGGGGAAGCCCGCGGTAGAAAGCGGCGAACGGCGCTAGCAAGGCTAGCACGGGCGCCGTCAAAAGGGGAGGGGTGGTTCGGGTCCAGGGTGCCCGAAGAGGACGGGGTTTGAGGAACCCTAAACCCTACAAAAACCCTAAGGAAAACCCTAACCGAGGTTTAAGTGGTTAGGGTAGGGTACCGGTGACCTAATCAAGAAAGTAAAAGAGCAAGCATAGGGGGGGGGGAAGGCGTGAGAAAAATAAATAAGCAGCGAGATGTCGAAAGAAAATAAAAATAAATAAGGAAAGAAATAAATAATAAAATTAATTAAAGAAATAAGTAAAAGGATGGAAAGGGAAAATAATATTTA